TTCTGTGGATTGGCAAGGATGGCTTTCTCTAACCTCTCTCTTCATCCCGTTTCGGGTGTCCCTGTTGGACGTGCCTGGGGAATGGTGCGTTCAGCCATGTGTGTTTTCCCAGGTCCCGTCGGGTCTCTTCATCCCCAGCATGGCGGTGGGAGCTATCGCAGGCAGGCTGCTCGGGGTGGCCGTGGAGCAACTGGCCTTTTACCACCACGACTGGGCCATCTTCAGCGGCTGGGGGGGGGCTGCCGAGTGCTCCCCTCCCGGCCTCTACGCGATGGTGGGGGCCGCAGCCTGTCTGGGTAAGCGAGGTGGCAGCCCAAGCTGTGCTCTGGGTCTTGGGTGGCCGCGTAAAGGAGCGGAGCAGTGAAACGCTGGTGTTGCTGCTTCCGCAGCAGCTGCCTTCATCTCCAGGATGGGAAACGTTGTGGTGCACGACGCGTTTCGCATCCTGTTCGCATCCTTTCGCCAGCACCAACCTAGCGTTGGGCAGGCCGGGTTTGGGTCCTGAATTGGCAGCTACAACAAATGGGACTGGGCAGGGGTTCGGATTCCCCTGGGGGGTTTTAATCCACTTCCTGTGCTGGCCTTAAACATTACGAGGCGGCTCCTGTTTCAAGTGCTCCGGTTCCTTGGTCACGCGTCATCTGCTTGGCTGCATTTGCGCAATGGAGTGCACGTGACTGCTCTTCACTCTGGAATTCCCAGCCCTCTCCTCCGCGCAACAGTGTGTTTAACTCTGAGGGGACTGCTGTTAGCAGGAGAAGCGTTTCAGGAAGGGTGAAAGCGTGGTGCCAAACCCCATCTTTGGCCGTTTTTAAAGGGGATACACCTTCTGCTTTGCGTGTGAGGGATGAAAAATAAACACGGTTCCACTCCAGTACCTATTCTGTTCACCACTGAACAGTACTGGTACTGAAGGGAAGGGTGTGCTTGAGGAGGTGGTTTTTGGAGCAAAACTCCTCCAACAGGTTTGGGAGTAGCCTTAGGACTTGAATTTCAAAAGCGTGATTGAAATACGCCCAGACCAAATGCTGCTGTTGAAAACCGATGGCGATGTTTAAGGCGACCCATCTGTTTTCCCTCGAAAGGCCTCAACTCTTTTAGTGTTGAAAACCTACAAAAGTGGGGATATCCGGCTGTGGTTTTTGGAGCAAAACTCCTCCAACAGGTTTGGGAGTAGCCTTAGGACTTGAATTTCAAAAGCGTGATTGAAATACGCCCAGACCAAATGCTGCTGTTGAAAACCGATGGCGATGTTTAAGGCGACCCATCTGTTTTCCCTCGAAAGGCCTCAACTCTTTTAGTGTTGAAAACCTACAAAAGTGGGGATATCCGGCTGAAAGCCGGCAAACTGGAAGGGGAGGGCTTCTGGGGGAAACCAGGGAACATCAGGATGACTCCTGCTTCTTGCCTACGTCGGGAACGTGCCCGTGAGGGGCGAAAGGCCCTTCCGTGGCGGGAACGTGCCCGTGAGGGGCGAAAGGCCCTTCCGTGGCGGGAACGTGCCCGTGAGGGGCGAAAGGCCCTTCCGTGGCGGGAACGTGCCCGTGAGGGGCGAAAGGCCCTTCCGTGGCGGGAACGTGCCCGTGAGGGGCGAAAGGCCCTTCCGTGGCGGGAACGTGCCCGTGAGGGGCGAAAGGCCCTTCCGTGGCGGGAACGTGCCCGTGAGGGGCGAAAGGCCCTTCCGTGGCGGGAACGTGCCCGTGAGGGGCGAAAGGCCCTTCCGTGGCGGGAACGTGCCCGTGAGGGGCGAAAGGCCCTTCCGTGGCGGGAACGTGCCCGTGAGGGGCGAAAGGCCCTTCCGTGGCGGGAACGTGCCCGTGAGGGGCGAAAGGCCCTTCCGTGGCGGGAACGTGCCCGTGAGGGGCGAAAGGCCCTTCCGTGGCGGGAACGTGCCCGTGAGGGGCGAAAGGCCCTTCCGTGGCGGGAACGTGCCCGTGAGGGGCGAAAGGCCCTTCCGTGGCGGGAACGTGCCCGTGAGGGGCGAAAGGCCCTTCCGTGGCGGGAACGTGCCCGTGAGGGGCGAAAGGCCCGCGGCCAGGCTGTTTTGCAGGTGGATGAGTAGCACGAGGGCAGCTCAGCCGTCATTTAAGGGTGCTTTGGAGTGCAGGGATCCATCAGAACCACACAGTAAGGCAGTCCCACAGTGTCCTGGAGGGGGCGGATGGGTTCAGTGCTGCGTTCTGCTCACGTTCGGCTTCCACTGCGATGCCGAACGGGATGTGGGAGTCCACCAGCACAACCGCCTGCTGAGACAAGGCCTTCTCGGTGCCTTGGCAGGGGACGGCTGAGCAGACAGCCTGGAAACCCCCAAAATGGCCTCTTCATGTCGCGTGCGTGTTCTCTTGCAGGTGGGGTGACGCGCATGACGGTGTCGCTGGTGGTCATTATGTTTGAGCTCACCGGTGGACTGGAGTACATCGTTCCTCTGATGGCAGCCGCCATGACCAGCAAGTGGGTGGCTGACGCCATTGGGCGGGAGGGCATTTACGACGCCCACATTCGCCTCAACGGATACCCTTTCCTGGAAGCCAAGGAGGAGTTCTCACACAAGACGCTTGCGATGGACGTAATGAGGCCCCGGAGGAGCGACCCTCCGCTGACCGTCATCACTCAGGACAGCATGACTGTGGAAGATGTTGAGACCATCATCAACGAAACCACGTACAGTGGCTACCCCGTGGTGGTGTCACGGGAGTCCCAGAGGCTTGTTGGGTTTGTCCTCAGGAGGGACCTCATCATCTCTATCGGTAAGAGACAAGATGCCCGTAGATAAGTGATGCCGTTAGAGGCCCTCAGTGGCACCGGCTGTACTTCACCGGGCGAGTTACACACCCAGTAGTGATGGTGGCCGTGCTGAGGGGCGCCTGCATCTCCGTCCCCGAGCGGAGCGGGGTCTGCGTGCACGGAGTGCGAAGGATGGGAAGGTTTGCACGGTTATTAGTGTGCCTCTGCTGACTTCATCAACCGCAGGGCACGGCTGTGAAGCGTGAGGCTTCTCGCCAGCCAGAACTGAGCCTTCCTGACCTTGTGGATGGCTGGATGTGGAAAGCTTTCTGAGCTGTTGACATCTCAAGCCTTATTCCATTAAGGAAAACAGCCTGGTTGGTCCGTGTCCTGGGTATTGGGTCACTTACACGTTTGACACAGCACCTCAGAAGCATTGGTGCTTCCATCTCTCTTCAGCACTGAAGGCCAGCCTGGTCTTTCCCTGTTTCGCTTGTGCGTTGGGGATGTGAGGCAGGTGCTGCGTGGTGCTGGCAGGGCTCTGTCAACGCTGTCCTGACATCCTCTCAGATGCAGCTGAGCTCTTGGAAACATCACCATGTTACAGTTTAGGGCACGTTTAGGTTCCTTTGGCTCTCCATTTTCTTAGAAACCTGCAAGTGCTGTTTCCCAGCAGGAGACGGGAGTGGAAGTTCTGGTCTCTTGTCTCTTGCTGGCTTGGGCGAGGCTGCCTTCTGCTGATGAAGCAGAAGTCGGGGTTAGGGGTGAGGGGTTTGAAGGTTTAGGGGCTTTCATGGGTGCGTAAATCCTTAAGAATTGTGCCTGTGCTGGAGAGAAGATTGGGCATAAGGGCACCAAGCCCCCACCCACGTAAGCTGTGACCCCATGGTTCGTGTCCAGCCGTAGCTCAGCTCCAAGCACTGGGCTTGGGCGAGCTGGAGTTGCCCACACGCTTCCTCATGCCGGCACCAAAACCCCATGGCAAGCTGGATGGGAGACCCGATCCAGCTGAAAATATTGCCCCCTGTGCTTGGTTAGCGGGGTCAGTCCCCTCTCCTGGCTCCCGGGGCGGGCAGAGGATGCTGGTGCAGGGTGAGAGCAGCTGGGAGGGGGGTGGCCTTGGCAAAAGCAGAAAGGGCTGGTGGGAATGGCGTGATCCTGGGGGATTGGGGACATGCCAGCTCCAGGCCGTGCTCCCCAGCACATGGCCAAAGGCAGGGTCTTGGTGTCCCCAGCCAGCCCTGTCCCATGGCAGAGTGGGGGGGCGGGGGGTTATCCTTAAGTTGCCTGCAGCTATGACCAACCCCATGTGTTCCCTCTCTCTCGGAAGGTCCCTTTTCAGTGTCGGTTTCGGGATGTGCAGTACAGTCCTGTGGAGCACGTGACATTGCTCTCGCTCCTCCGATGAGCGTCTGGCCAGACGCTTGTGACAAGTGGGATAAAATACAGGAAGAGGCACGCTATCGCATTAGCTTAAGTGTGTAAAAATACCTTTTAGGTACTCTGCTACTCGTGTTTTATCTGTCTCCCCTGAAAAGTGGCAGGTGGAGGATCTGCAGAACCTGCATTTACAGGCCCAGAGCAAAATGCTGGGATGCCCGGCAGCCTTGACGTGAGGCAGAGCGTGCGCTGAGCTCGCCCCTGGGGAGTAACTGTGGAGACCTTGGAGGTTGGGATGTAGTCCTTAGGATGGGAACGTATCCAGCTCCTTGGCTCCTCAGTTGCCCGGAGAAACGGTGCGGGTGAAGGGAAGGATTGGCCTTCCCAGAGCGGGCAGAGAGAGAAAAGGCTCCGCTCTTGGGTTTGGAAAAGTAAAGGAGGGATATTCAATCCCATATTTCTTCTTGCAGAAAATGCCCGGAAGAAGCAGGATGGGATTGTGAGCACTTCAGTTATTTATTTCACTGACCACTCTCCTCCGCTGCCTCCGAGCTCCCCTTCCATGCTGAAACTCAGGAGCATCCTGGACCTCAGTCCCTTCACCGTGACAGACCAAACGCCTATGGAAATCGTCGTGGATATATTCCGCAAGCTGGGATTGCGCCAGTGCCTGGTGACTCACAACGGGTAAGAACGCTGCTGGCAGAGCCCTGGGGTCCCAGGGTTGCCCGTAGACCTGAGTCGAGACGTCCTCTCCTTGAGTGAGCCATGTGGGGAGCGCTGAGCATCGCCTTGGCAATCATTGGCTGGAAAAGCGGGATCACGGAAGCCCTGGGCCTCTGTGGGTTGAAGCCGTGACGTGAAGCCCGGAAGAAGACCCAGCTCCATTGGTGACGGGTCTTCAGTGTGTTGGGGCTGATGGAAAGGGCTCGTGGCCACGCGGATCGTGTAATGCCCCCAGTTCCCTTCGGGGTGAGGTGGGAAGGAATGAGGGCAGAGAAACCAAGCGATCTCTTCCCTGAATTCTCTCCCTGTTCCCTGCCGTGGCGCGTGGGGTCGTTTCGGCCCCGGCAGGCGGGTGTGTGGCTCGGCCTCGCTCCCACAACCCTGCATCCGGCCTTCCGGCGCCTTGCTGAGAGCACGGCTACTGCGGGTACCAGCGCTTCAGACGCAGCGCTGGGCAGGCAGGCTGATCTTCTGGAATAACTTAATGAATGATATAATAATTATTATTAATATATTAGTATTTGTCTTTTGCTTAAACCTCTGTACTTTTTTTAGTGTAGACTGCAGCGTAAAGTAGAGTTTCTGAGCGCTGGACTTTGTGTGGAGTGTCAGCCCCATGGTCCCACAAGGCTCTCCCACTCCTGCAAGGCCTTAAAGTCGCCCCCAGCGAAGCTCCGGGAGCACGGATACCTCGGGGGGCGGGGGAGGCGATGCACTGAGAACGTGTTTTCCCTTTTTCAGGAAGCTGCTGGGGATCATCACCAAAAAGGACGTATTAAAGCACATTGCACAGCTGGCCAACCAGGACCCGGACTCTATCCTCTTCAACTGAAGGCAGACCGGCCGGGGCTGCGCGTTCAGCCCCCGGGAGGCGTAACAGGCCATCCCGGATGTACTTCCCTCTTTTTACTGAGACCGTGGAACTGTTTCCAGCGTTTCCTTCCGTAGAGCTGAAGAAGGTAACTTTCTTTTTCTACCAGATAACCAATTGCACTACATAATCTGTGGAACATGATCTTCTTTTTAGAAGAAAAAAAGGAGACTGACTTTACGTTGCTTTCGCCAAGTTGCGTCGGAAAGATGCCATGAAGGAGTAAAAGCGAAATGCCGTGGATTTCTCTCTCCTTATTTTTATCGGAACTCTGAACGTGGGGAGGAAAAGGCGAGCCCTGTACCTCCAGGAGCTTTGAAGGAGAAGGGTGATGAGCACACGGCGCTGGGGCGGTGGCAGGAGCGTGTGGCTGTAACTCAGGGTGGTGTGTTCCCAGTTAGCCGCTCGGTAAGAACGAGAACCTCCTAAAGTCGAGACGGGGGAGGGAAATCCAAAACTAAGTGGGCTGGCTGAGGCTGTTCTGCTGAAAGGAGGAGATAATAAAACCCAACTCCCTGGAAGAATAGATCTTAAAATCGGGGCTGGTTTCGGATTGGGAAGAAGCTTATTTTGATTAATCTGTGAATGTATTTAATTACTCTGTCGCTGCCTTGCCAGGAGAACCCCGAGGAGGAGGCAGAAGGAGTTAAGTCATATTCTCATCGTGATCCCTTTTCTTTTTGAGATACACACCTAAGGATTTCTCCTTGATTTCCCTCGAGCATGTAATTAAATTCCCAAAGGCTGAGCCCTAATTTATTGCCCCCCCCATCACTGCCTCCCCAGCAAACTGATCCCGTTGGATATTGCACAACTGACCTCTCCCTTGATCAGCAGTGTCTGCGGGGCTGCAGACGTCCTGCCCGGAGAGCCCCGCGCCCGGGACACGTACAGGGATGCGTGTGCTCTTCCCGGCTCCTCTCCTCGGGCCCACATCCCGGCTCTAGGATGGGCAGCACTGCCGATTCCTGCTCCCTGTCTCTCCTTTTGCCGACAACTATGCAATAACGCCCTTCCTGACCTCTGTCACCCACGTAACTCCTTCCACCTCGGCTCCTCAAGCCCCTCTCCCACACCTGAGCAAATTATTTTCCTGTTAATAAAACTGTGAGCGTTCACTGGAATTCCGGCGGCGTACGGATGCTTTCGGAGCCTGCCGTCCATCCTCGTGCTTCCTGTTGTAGCAGGGGGGGTTTGCTTTTCGACCGGTGCTCGTCGGGGACGGGGGAGCATCCTCTCCCCACCGAGGCTGCAGCCAGGAGCCAAGCCCGTGGGTAACAGCCAAGGATGATGGAGGGAGAGCTCCGACTGCTTCCTGACGGAGAGACCTCCGGCTGCGGAGCAGGTGCCGTGCTTCGCGTGGCAGAGGGCAGGGTGGCAGCTCCCCTCGCTCCTGCGGGCCCAGGCCAGGCTCGGTGGGCTCTCTCCGTGCGACTGCTGCCTGGGACGGTCTGTGCAGGACGTCAAACACACAGAGTTTATTCCGGAGGTACGTGCGTGTCCGTGAAGGGTGGGATCCTGCCAGGGTCTGGAATTGCTTTGTCTGGATACCCAGGGACAAACGAGGGGATGGGCTCCTGCCTCCCCCATGCTGCAGGCAGTAGGTAAATGGAATTACAGGATTTTTTCCTGGGATCTCCAGCTTCTTTGGCTTGGGGATGTAAAGGGGAAAACTGCGTGTCCTCGTGCATGAGGTCTGTAAGCCTGGGGGAAGCTGGCTCAGCTCCTTCCTTGCGTACGGCTCCCTCCTCCCAAGGGCAGAGCCGGGGAGGTGGCAGAGCCAGGGATGGAGGAAAAAGGCGGAATGGCCAGAGCTGCTGGCATCAGCCTCACTGCTTCGGGAGCCCCGAGCTCTGTTGCTCGGAATCCAGGGTCTGAGTGGCAACAGGCAGATGGATCGGGGAGGGGGAGAGAAGTTCCCTTCAAAGCAGTGTCTTTCCTTGGGGGGCCTCGGCATCGGTCCCTGTGGGGCTGCGACTGTTTGGGGAAGGTGTTGGGAGCAGCACGGCTCCGGGAGACTGGGCACGGCTGGAAGGGGGCTCCAGGAGACAAAAAAGGAGGGGGGCTCGGGAGGCGGGGCACGGCTGGGGGAGGGGGCTTGGGAGACGGGGCACGGGTGGAAAGGGGCTCCTGCCAGGGCAGACTTCCCTCCTCTCAGTTGTGTTGGGAGAGCATGAACATTTTAAGGAGCATCCCGCCTCCTACAGCTATCGGAACGCCGGCTGAAGGAAACGAATTTGCCGTTTTTCCCTCTTTTTCAGGTTTAACGGATGTGGGGGGGGCCGTTGCGGGGGGCAACGTCCCGAGGTGCCCCTCGGGTGGGCGCTGGTCACCGCCCCGCCCTGGCTTTGTTGGCTTTATTTACAGTGCCCCGAGAAACGATTTCCTGGGGTGTTGGCGTGTTTTTCGGTGTGGATTTCCTCCTTCCACCCCCCTTGAGCTTGTTCTGGGCTCGGGCCTTCGAAGTGAAACGAGGTCGTGCCTGGGAGGGAACAAAAGACGGGGGCGTAGGATGAACTGGGTAACAACAGCGGGAGGGGGGAGCAGAAGAGATGTCAGCCCCAGGCCTTGCTCCCAGACAAAGGGCAGCGCAGTCCGTGCCGGGAACGCCCTTGGCGCGGGCGGCTGCGCCGAGGGGAGAGCGGAGCTCGGTGGCGGCGACAGGACGGTC